TGTTCAAAAGATAGGGTAGGTAGGCTAATAGACTGCTCAGATGAAGAGACAAAAAGCTTTACCCTGAAGGTAAAAAGATTCATACTATTTATTCTCTGAAAGCAAGAATATAAACAAAGTAATTTTGTGGGATAATTTGGAAAAGGTTTTTAAGTTATATAGGTATTGAACTAGTTATTTTTCATTTATTGGGAAAACATGTGAGAATATTGACTTAAATGATAGTCGGGATTCAAATTAGCTGTAAGGAATAATTTTTTTAGCACAGTGTGGTTTAGCAGGAGAGATTGTTAATTTTAAAAAACTATGCAAATAAAATGAATATTTATTGGTCTTGACCAGGTTGAATGTGGTCTTACATGAGGCATTTGGAAACAAACTCGATGAGCCGTAAAGGTCTTTCCTAAACCTAGAATTCTGATTCCATGGGCTCTAGCTTTGCTCAATGTCCTGGCCCCCTCAGCCAACCAACAAGCAATAAGGAGTGTGGGGTCTGTGCAGAATGCCATGCCTGGGCTGCAGCAGGCACACCCCTGTCATTCACGGATAGTTCTCCATGTGTGTAAACAAATCTATTTATAAAACCCTAATGTGCAAATCGACCAAATGGTGGAATGACTGATCGCTATGATGTGCACTGACCACCAGGGGGCAGATGTTCAACACAGGAGCTGCCTCCAGCCTACACGCCCCAATCAGCAGTGGGAGGCGGGGCCAACGAGCAGGTGGCACCAGGCTAGCCAAGGCAGGTGCGAATGAGTGCAGGCCAGGCCTGGCAACCCTACCTGTGCACGAATTTCATGCACCAGGCCTCTAGTAGATTAATAAAAACAAAAAGAAGTAAGCCATCTATGCCAAAACGTGATCTACACGTGTCACTATTATACTGTGTTCAGGGGTTCAGTCAGGAAAGTGCCAATGAAGAAATTTACATTGAAGAGGGGTCAGGAGAGGAGTGGAGAGGTCTTTCCTTTCAGCGGGGCAAGTTAAGATAAGCGAGGGCAGGGCAATCTAAGTGAGATGTTTTCAGAAAAATGTATTCTTATTGGGACTTTACAGAGACAGAACTGCAGAGGGCAGAGGCAGAGTGCACTCCATGGAGGGGGAGGTTTAAGGCTCAGGCTCAGGAGCCACAGAGGTTTCCGGAACACAGGTGTGAAAAGTGTGAAGGGATGTTTGGATGGTAAGGTGCTCACAATGGATGATAGAAGGAAAGCTGAAGTTATAATACTGCAAGCAGGAGATGATGAGGGTCAGTATCAAAATACCTGAAAGAAATGACTCAAAAGTCCCTGGTTTCATATGTATGTGTATATACGCACATGCATGTGTGCGTGCACACATACATGCACACACACATGCACACACATGCACACACATGCATACACACGCACACACATGCATACACAAGCACAGACAGTCATGAAGGAGGACACTGTAGTTTGGGCCTGAGCTGATTTTGTGGGAACAGAGGTTGCTCAGTGGTTAGCAATGTTGAATTTGAGGAGTTGGCTGGAAATTGAGCTTGAGAAATGTAGGAACTGGGATGAAACAGGGACTGATGCTCAGGAGAATGTTCTGGAAATACAAGTACGAAATCTTCTGCCTGGGGCATCAGGGACAGTCTTGGAAAGAGGTCAACTCTTTAAGTATTAAGGAAAGAACCAAGGATGGGGAAGTAAAATCAGAGACATGTCTACGTACAGGAAGTGACAGGAGGGAGGGAAGTCAGCTAATGGGCACAGGAGTGGCAGCAAACGCACGGACCAGGGAGGCAGGAGATAGCTTAGTCAGGGAGCAGTGATGTGAGCAGCAGAAAAGTCAAAAGGAATGAGAACTGAAAAAAACATTGGACTTACTGGTTAAGAGGTTAAAATGTCAAGTGTTTATTCTAAAGGTGGTGGGGGATACTTACCAGTGGTCAAGTCGGGGTCTTGAGTGGTTTGTCCTTCCTCTTCCTTGTCTGTCGCTGATGTACTAAAATCTTCCATCGCAGCAACTAAGGTGAGAGCAACACAGGACGTATGCCTTCGACTGTGCATATAGAGTGTATATCCACACAAGGTCATCCAAAAGCAGCAAACAGCTTTGGCGACCAAGTTTAGTGATGCTCACTAAGAACAATGAGGTCCCTTCTGAACGACAGATGTCTTCCCCAAATAGAGGTGAATGGTCGGGCTTACTTTGCCTTATTTTCTGAAGGTTAATGTGTTTTGAACGTTTGCTTTGCACCAGGCCTTAGACTGAGCATGTTACTTCTGACTACAGCACTGGGGCAGCAGAGTTTTAGAAAATGTAAATAAATCATCTAAAGTCCTGCAGCAAAGCAGTGGTGGAGCCAACACTGAAAGTCAGAGCCCAGCATGAAGCCGTTATGTGCACTTCCCTCCTGAACCAGGTCTATCGGCGAGAAGGCCGTGGGATGCCTCCGGAGACACCTGGACAGTGAAGGAGGCGTCCGAGCTCTATGGGTGGAAACCTGAGCCTGAAATGCACAAAGCAATGACTCGATGTTAGAAGTGGGCTCGGCTACCATTCAAACCTGTGTGTGTCCCCACCCCCAGGAGAGGGACGTACCAGGTGCCTTTGCTAGGGGAGACAGTTTGTAAAAGTCACAACAATCTTTTCCTGATTTTGTTGTTTCTCCTCCCTAGGTTTTACCTGTTGTAGTCTCTGGCTTTTTAGCCCATTACACAAGGGAATGAAACCACCTATTCTCCTACTGACAATGGCTATTGTTAACAGTAAATAAAATTGTAAAAATTAAAAACTGAAAGGAGTTTTAGAAACCACATTTTTAAACTCTTATGTTATATATGAAAAGGCAGAGCAAAAAATTGAGTTATTAAAAAATTGAGTGTCAGCCAATTTAAAGACAACTAGATTCTAAACATTTATAAAATATTGGCTTATGAAGCAAATGATGTGGCTATTCCACTTCATATTTTCAATTTCCATTGTTCTTCAAAAAACTTTATGGCATACAGTGTATTTATCAGTTTAAAACCCCCAAACATTTACTTTTAAATATGATTCAAGATAAGCAATTTTTAAGTGTGATCTGATACTCAGAAGTGTGCATGTGATGATGGTATGAGAGCACTTATCCCACCAATCGCACCGTTACAGACGCCTCTGAAAAGCAAGAGTCGGACTTGCAACCTCTCTGCTCGAGGCTCACGGTGGCGCTCACTGCACCAGGGCCGCCTGCATCCTGCCCCCAGTGGCTGCTACTGCACTTTCTCAGCACCGGCTGTACCATATGCTAAGCTGAGTGAGAGAAAACATAACTGACACATGTGATCATTGTCCAGAGTGCACCAGCAAGTGGACTCACTACAAATTATAATGTAGGCTTTCTGCATTCTTCTGCATTTATAGTTCAATTTTGTCATTAAAATTATCTGAGTTTTTGACAACCAAGTAGGTGACGAACTTTCAAAGGTGACTTTGTTACTTGATGATGAGAAACATCAAATCTCCAGGTCCTGCTCCTTTTCTCTTTGTTTTTGGTCTATTCTAGATGGAAAAGCAAAGAAACGAGTCTCCACAGTGGACATGCAAATGTCACAAGAGTGTGTGTGTGTGTGTGTGTGTGTGTGTGTGAGAGAGAGAGAGAGAGAGAGAGAGAGAGAGAGAGAAAGCTTACAAGGTGTTAGCTACTCTGAACCCTCAATGGTTAACTATGGCACTTCTCCAGTCACCACAAAGCTGGAGGGAGTCCTGAATGGTCTTGTTACAAAACAAAACAAAACAAAACAAAACAAAACACTACTTTCTTAAAACTTATTATTGGAAAACTGAGTTCCCAAAGAGGCAGGATTTTTAAAGTTGGAATGATTTGGACACTCACCAGTGCTAGCGGCCTGCGGGGCATCTCGTGAGGACGGAGAGCTTTTCCCCGGGGCATCTGAGGCCGCCTCTTGACCAGTAACTAGAAAAGGGAAAAACAAAATTCTGCCACGATGAAGACCAAGCCTGCTCACAGCATGCTCACTGCACAGGGTGGAGGATGTATTCGCCTGCTACCTGCTCGCGGAGGTTTTGCAGGCACCTCAGAGCTGCTGCTCTGTAGCTCGTGGCTCTTGTGTGACCCTGTGGCCCCCGGCTGCCCAGCTCCCTGGCTTCGGGGTGCAACCTGTGACCTCTGGGGAGGAGCGTCTGGCACCCGGGGCAAAGGTCTCCGCCTTCTCCACTCGTCTCTCCCTGCCCGCCCCCCGCCTGTCCATCATCTACCCACTCACACACCTAGCCACTCGCTCTTAGGTGGCTTTGGGTCAGGCTCAGACGGGGTTGGGTTCCAATGCTTTACTTGCTTGATGCTGAGTGAATCTGAGTAAGATGCCTAATGTTTTGAATGCTCAGTTTCTTTCTTTTTTTTTTAATATATTTTATTGATTTTTTACAGAGAGGAAGGGAGAGAGATAGAGAGTTAGAAACATCGATGAGAGAGAAACATCGATCAGCTGCCTCCTGCACATCCCCTACTGGGGATATGCCCGCAACCCAGGCACATGCCCTTGACCGGAATCGAACCTGGGACCTTTCAGTCTGCAGGCCGACGCTCTATCCACTGAGCCAAACCGGTTTCGGCAGAATGCTCAGTTTCTTAATACCTACAATATGAAGATACTAAGTGCATTTACCTCTCGGCGTTTTCTGTGAGAATTAATTCATGCCACATGTTTAGCACTATGCTGGCTATTTGTTAAGCACAGTGCTTACTAAATGGTAATTGTATAATATAACAGTATCTAGAAATGTTTCTAGAGGTCCGCTTAGCATAGCTCTGAGCTGTCTGTGACTAGGCCTGAACCCAAGGAGCGTATAAAAAGGTTTCTGTCAATTTGCAAATACTGATAGGCGATAAGGGGTATGTCCCTATGAAATCTATGAGAACTTCATTTAATCAAAGGGTTCCCTGATTTTAGTGTCTTCTTGTTTTAATTAAACATTAAAATTTTTTGAAAACTGTTTTTAAAAAGCCTGAATTGCACACAGAGCGCCAAGAAAAGGAAGAACCACCACTAAGGAAACACTAGAGAAATAGTGACATGGACTGAAGGTAAAACGAACTCGGTGACCACAAAGACACCAGAGAAAATCGAAGAAACGCGAGAGTTACTGGCAAGGAAAAGAGGAAAATGCTTGAAAGTGAGGCAACTAGAAGTACTAGAAGAAAATGACAGAAGAGCAACATATGAGAAATATTGGGGACACATAGGATAAAATTTATCCATGATTAGGGTCTTCTAGAGTAATGTATAGTATACTGTATAAAATTAGATATGTTTATGTACAAAACAGGGTATGTATATGTATATATACACATTATATATCTTGTTGGATATATAATAATACATATATATATAAAAACCATGTATACATACATAGGCAATATTTCTATATTTTCTATGTTGCATGCATCTATATCCATAGAACCTGATTTATGGATGAATATATATATAAACTGGAGTCCATAGATATTAGACTGGATTTATCCTCTCAGTTGGCAATCTGCTGGACAAACCACTTTAGAGGTCTGATGGCGGGACTGGAGACTTGTTGTTCTGGTTGATCAGATGCCACAGCTCTCGGCTAGTCCATGCAGCACCACCAGGTGCTACGACTATTTAAATTCAAATTTAAAAAGATTAAATGCTATTAAAAAGTTAGTTCCACAGTTGCTCAACTTTCTGTTTTTATCCCATCGTCAAATAAGCGGTAGGAAATCAGGCCTCCGCCTTTGGAGGCTGCGGAGATGAAGTCGGTCCCTGGGGGGGTCAGTGCCGCTGCTGCTGTGCGGTCTGGCAGGGGAGGCTCCAGCTGGGCTGCGGGCTGCGGGCTGCGGGCTGCGGTCGCTCTGGTTCAGAATCGCGCGAATCCTTTCAGGAGCATCAGCTACATGCAGTCTCCTTCTCCCCCTGACCTCCTGTGGCCCCGCCTGCCCTGTGCTCCCTCCACCCGTGGGCGATGGGCGATGGGCAATGGGCGATGGGCGATGGGCAATGGGCGATGGGCAATGGGCGATGGGCAATGGGCGGGGAGGCCAAGTATTTGCGTCAGGTCACAGCCCCGCTGCCGGCTGTGGGTCCGAGTCTC